AAGGTGTCCAGTGGCAAGTGTATACATATCTTGTGTAGCACCATGACATATTGAGCAAGTGGGTAGGCTGAATCACTTGAAAGATGATAGTAAGGGGGAAGCTTTAGTATTTCATTTGCAATGGCCCTTTCAATTCAGCTATGTCTTCAAGCTCTGGAATCATGAACATTTCAGAGTAGCAATTTTATCTTGAAGATCATTCTGTACCACTCGATCATTTTCCACTTTCATCTACCTCTTTCAGTGAGTACTCACTGAAAAAGGTAGATGAATCTTTTCAGAAGGTTGTGTGAAATGTCTGAGTGGGCCATGCTTCAAGTCATGACTTGTCCAGTTTGATTGAGTCATAACTGAATGCACCCGCTATGGTGCTGGATCACTACCAGATGCCCAATTCTTGCTCATGGGGGCATGTGTGAGCATTGTCCAGACTCACTTCATATATGTTGATTGGGACTACATAGTGCCTTGGCCTTTGCATGCCTTTAGAGTGGTTGAATTGGGGTACATGAGCACTTGACGGTACATGAGCACTTGACCATACCCAATACTTTCATCCTCTACTTGTCTGCGAGCTGTGCAGATATGACATCTTTTAAAATTTATTTATGATATAGCCAATAGGTGTAACATCAGTTATTCTTTGCTGGTAAAGCCAGTATTAATTTATTTTGGCTGATGGTTGATATCAGACTTCATGTTACTACTTTTTGCAGACTGAAAGATTATCTTTGCATTACTTAAAACATCCAGACTGTAATTTCAGAGTGTTGTGGTGAACCTGTACCGATGGATGAGTGTGAACCATTCACCATCAATTGCAATGAGGGGAGCTGTTGAACTCATGAAAGAAGTCAAGAAATTGGATTCTCAGCCTGGTGGGCGAGAGGAAAACATCTCCAAGGCCATGAAAGCCTACCTTCAACGAGCTAAAGAATATGGTATGACAAACTTTAATTGTTCATTGCTCCTTCTATTGTTCCACCTTGTGGAGCTTTCCTCCAGATCCCTCTACCTCTGCCAATGATTATTGCTTGTGCAAAGGGAGCCATTTATCAGAAATTTCCCCTCTACTTCCTGTCTGTGAGTATTCTTGCCATGGAGGAGAGTGCATACAGAGCTCTGGACAATAGAGAATGAAGTTTGTGTGTAGCTGCCACATGCCATGTGGTTTTTTTGTTCAGTTCTCTCTTGATATCTTGTGAGTATACTGTGAAAGAGTTGAAAAATGAGCCCAACATATTTCGGGAAATCATGTTGCAATTAGGTTTGAAAATACTCTAAGTGTTTGTGGTTAAATAATTTTCAAATCTAGAGCTATGATTTCTCAAAATAGATTACTATCCACTCTTCCAGTCAGGTGATAGAGGAAGGTACTTGCTTGATCCAACAAGTTAGTGAAAATGGGTTTATATTTTAAAGGAATCTTCTTTATGGGGAAAGCAATAGGCAGAGTCAGGAGATATTGGAGGATGACTCCATTTGGGAGCTCTCTGCATACTGGAGATGATGGAGTGACTGTTAACATTACTGGCATAACAATTCAATCCACCTATAATTGAAATGATACGAGACGTTATAGTTTTGGATTGTGGGAATGCCTGGATAAAAAAAAACATTGATGGAGACAGTAGCATAAGCAGAGGCAGATGATGATCATTTTCATGGGGGGGGGGGGAAGTGGGATAGACTTGGCTAGACTGACAACAGATAGAGAAATTAGTGGAGAAGAAAAAGTATATACAACTATAAATGTAGAAAAGAAAAGAAAAGAGATCAATAAGGGATGTAAACCTATTGTAATCTTCCTAACATGGATCTTCATGGAAGCTCTTAACTCTTGCAAGAAGAAAAAATAATCTACAGTGAAAACTCGTTAACTCGAATTTTTAGGGATCGGGCAAATCATTTCGAGTTATCCGAAGTTCTAGTTATCAGGAATCGCCCCCCCCCCCCCCCCCCTTAGATGTGAAATTCACCTGCTAAAGGAGAAGAATGAGCAAGGGAGAGATGCAGGAGGTCACACACAGTCAACGATTCCAGGGGGGTCCCATCCTCCCCAAAAAAAAAAAAAAAAAAATCGTTTAGGTACATAAGGGGACAGAATGGCTCGGAGTGAGAGCGATAGATTGACAGAGCGAATGTTGGAGGCTTTTTTATAGCCGAAGCTTTTCGGTTTTAATTCTCAGGTTTAATCCTCTCCACAGGCGTCTGTGTGGGAGGAGGGAGAAGCAGAAAACAAAGAAACAAAAGAGCATCCTCCCGAAAGGGTTTCTTGTCATTCATTCTATTCAAAAATCGATAAGTCTCACGAGAAGAGTTTTTCCCCTTTTCTCACCCTGAATTCGAGTTAATCTTGAGAAATCGTTTTAGGGGGTGAAAATTTCATTCGAGATAAGCGAATTCGAGTTAAACGGAGCTTTTAACATGGTGTCCTACGGGGTTCCGCCGGGACCAAGCATTGAACTTCGAGATAAGCAGAATTTCGTCTTATCAGGATTCGAGTTAACGAGTTTTCACTGTATTTTGAAACCTGTTACCCCGTGAAGGAAGCAATGAGAGATCCGTGCTTAGTATGATGGCTCCTTTGCAGGAAGTGAAACTGCTGTAATTGTCACGACATGCTTCCACGCGAGTCATATCTTTCGCAATCCATTAAAGGCGGACTGGGTTGGTCTCGCCTCTTGTTTCCATCTGAATCGAATCACACAAGCGTATGACCTGGCATTGAGAGACGGCGAGAGGGGGATTCATGGTGCTGGGCTCAAGGGGACTTCCTTTCAAACGCTCCTTGTACACGGTTCAATTGTGGGACATTAATGTATGCCCCTTTAATTTCAACTGTGAACCTAATGACGAAACCTGCTTCGTTACAGCAATGACCGTAAACTTCTGAAACTGCGAGCTTCTGCTACTTCTAAATGAAAATACGCCTATAAAATGCCTTCTTCGTTTTTTCTGCGGCCTACTGTATTTTCTTTTCTTTTATTTGATGTAAGGAAAGCGCTGGGCGCAGCTGCAGCATGCAAAATTGGCGTCACTTGAGGCAGGCAGAGCACGTCGATGATGGTCGCGTCTTTCCCATGTCGTAGGATGGAGGTCATTGACATAGAATGCATAGATAGACTCCCAGAGATATTCGGACAAAATGGTCTTGGACATGTTGATCCCGATTGATGTGATCTGGACATTTTGATCCCGAACAGTATAGTTTGGACAGTTAGGATCCCGAATGCTATGTAAATTTTAGTCCAAAAAATAATAAATAGGGCGAAATTAACCCTGTTGTCAATAGGTTCGATAACACTGCTCTAAAGCAGTAAGAACTAATATTTTTATGCGCAAAATAGCATTATAAAAGTAAGTTTTAAGCAGTGGCAGATCCAGGAAAGGCTGCCCCTTCCGTCCCACCTATTATTCAAATCGCCAGGGCTCAATGCTTCTGTCAAGATCCTCTACATGTTGGGGAGTATTAGAGATTTTTATTTCCTTCTTTCACCTTGACTTTTCTTCCTCGTGCCTATCTCTGACTTGCCACCCTTTTGCCCTTCAGTCTCCCCTTTTCATAAATTTCTGGAATCCTCCCATGGTGGTAAGTAATCGGTCATTGATTGAGGTACATTATGTTTACATAAGCCTTCAACAATTGACAAATTTGTCAGTGTGCAATGTATATTAGTAAGTACACGGACAACTGCCAAATGCGTCTTTGACTACCACGAGAAGCTATCGTTTAAAAAAAAAAGTGGAAATATTCCCATACCAGTGACATTAAAGCCTAATGAGGGTAGGGAAGATTTCATTCTGGTATTCATGAAGTTGTCTGTTGTAAAATTTTAAAGCCCAGATACACCTGGCGAGCACTCGCTAGCGAGTGGAAAAGCGTGGTGTTAGACGAATTAACGTTAGAAAGTGATCGCCGAACGTAACAGGGCCTTAATACATTTATATGTTAAGGCGCATTGACCTATTGTTTCTACAAATTAATCTTCCATGCTGGACTGATGAAGGAAAAGTGAGACCCAGCTAAGATTTGCTTATCGGGAAAGGCCTAGCATTCTTCTTATGCTGCCTTGTTTTTGGGTTCGTGGTTCCGCACGATTTTAAATCTATTTTGTCTGAATGGATCTTGGACTTGTATCATTCCTGTTATCGTTTCATCCTTGTTTTTACCGCCTTCAGAACACGTTGGCAATTAGTTTTGTTGAGGAACGTGTTCTGGTTTGCCGGGAAAAAAAATGTTGTCAACGTAATATTGAAAGTTATGAAATGCCTTTCTACATGATATCTGAACTGAATAGTTTCTTAAATATTGCTTTGTCAAGTCTCGTCTCATCAGAGGAGGTATCTTTTTGATGAATTCCCGGAACTGTGTTTGGAATGCGAGCCCGATCTCCGCTGTTTCTTGCTCGTTATCCATGTGCTGCGTTTTATCTAGTAGCAATGGTTCTCTCGAAGATAATAGGGGCTTGCCGTGCACTCTACTTTCCTCTCCTTCGTCTACAGAGCGTGTAATGAGTTATAATGAAGCTTCCCCACCTTTCACGCCACGCGCAGATCACGTCCTAGACCGTTGGTTGCGTGCCACCGCTCAGCCCAACCAAACAGGTGATCTGCCTTAGGCAAGAGTTACTAGCTTGGTCTCCCTTGCTCCCGCCCGCGAGATCGTCTTTGCTTGTCGTGATCCTGGGCTACGAACGCAGTCCCTCATTCAGGGGTCTGAGTTAGTATGTGGATGTGAGTGAATGAACGGAATGGCGAGGTGAGCGTTAATGAGGGCGCCCTTGGACTTCGATGACCAAGCTGTAGCTGGCACCTCGGGAGTCCGTGAGAGAGAGGGAAATGAAAAAGGCCATGCGTCATCCTCAGGGCTTGAGTCTGCGAAGAACTTCGTGTGCCTGAGCGCCGCGCGGAGCATGAGAGAGAGAGGAGAGGGAGAGCGCTCTCTATCGATTCGCACCTACGCTCTCGCGCTCCTTAGCTAAGCTTTCAAAACCAGCTACATCGCCGTATCCAGTTCAGTCGAAGGAAGCATAGCCAGTAGCCAGCCAGGGGACCATATGGCGGGCGGCATGTGAAGCAGCTGGTGTGCAACAGGTGGAATATGGTGGTGTAACGTGTGCCACGCTGTCATTGCGTGGCCTCTCCGGTGGTTGCCCCAGTCAACCTGACACGACCTCCGTCCTATCGTCACCCCATAATTCTCCCGCACACATGTCCGTGCCAAATAAAAGAAGTCATCCCACGTCGAAGAAATCGCCCAGCAGCGGCTACAGCAAGCAGAATGCTCCTTACGATCCCATCAGTGAATGTCTCGATGCGAACGGGACGTATGTGTGCACAGCGTACAGCCCTCAGTGCATCATCATTCAGAAGGTATGTTGTGGATTTTTGGCTACCCAATCGCTATCTTCACCTAGTCATTCGTCAGGGAGAAAAACCGCAAGCTGATGTACGAACAGGAGTTCCGAGATTCGGTTTTGTTAGCCTTTCACTTTTAGCCATCTCCTGTTCTTACATTTGGTTCTTCGGCAGGGAGAAAAGAAGGAGGAAATGATGCTGGAAAGGATAATCGAAATATTCCGACCGTATTTCTTTGACACTACCGCATGCTTTCCTTGAAAGCTTTCTCTTCCCCTTTCTCTCCGCGCTTTCATTCCATCCTACTGTCTCCGTCTTTTCGACCTTCTTTAGCATGTTGACAACAATGGTACCCGGGCAGTGGGGTCCCCTGACTTTCAACCTCTAAACACGTTGATGACAATGCTTGCTGTGTCTAGTACTGCTCCTGGCAAATACATTAATTTTCTCCCCTTCGTCACTGGGGCATTGAACTCTCTGAGAATATTTTACTAGTGTTGTATACAGTAGTTGCTATTGGGAGACTGAAACCCAGGGAGACCTACTTGCGGGTTCCATTGTCGCCTACGTGTTAAACGTGGAGAGAGAGAACAAATGCCGGCCTTTCCGTCTTGGAAAACTTTCCACACTGCTGCATTCAAGAAACTGGATATTGGGTATGATTTTCTGCACCGGTGGCTCGAGGAAGTGGCTTCTAAAGAAGTACTGTACTGCAAATCCTTGGCTGATTTGAGTTGCCATAATAGGAAATGCGGAAAAAGTTACCCTCCGTTTCGCTTAAGAGATAGCTGTATCTCTCATGCGTTGAGATGATCTGTTAAAATGAAAGCTGCTCACAAGGATAGCATATGTATAGGAAACAAATCCAAAAACACCGAAGTCGATTGTAAGACTTGGCTATCTCGATCTCGGAAGGATAGGATTGGCCCCATGGAAAGAGTGCGTGAGATATAAACGTGCTTATGAGTGTCCTTCTTTCAACCAAGGGGCGCTTTTTTTCCTTTATCCACCGTACTTTTCCTTGTCGAACCCCCCAGGATGCTTATGAAATGGATAGCATTGCTTCCTGCTACGATCTGCCAGCCGTCATTTTGTTATGTATGTTGATATCTGCACGTAGACGAAATTCGTGAAAGCGTGATCGAGCTAAATTGAGGACGTCCAGTATGTGTTAGTGTCAACGTCCTCTCGCTCTCTCTCTCCTCTCCTCTCCTCCCTCTTTCAGTATGTCTCGTCTTGGTGTCCTCGGTCTCCTTGTGCCGCCTCAGAGACTCCTGTAGAGCTACTTTCTCTCGGTCTTTCGTGAGATGCGATGCGTCTGTTGTCTCTGCCCTTGTCTGCCTTCGTTATAGCCACCAACATAGAGCGGCCTATGGTTGCCTACGTCATTTGGGGATTCCCCATCCCTAAGAATGCCTGCGAAACCTAATGACGTTGTCATGACTCTTCTTGGTTCGAGGTTATCACGATCAGTTAGAAAGGAAAGGCAGTGCTTATGACGCGAGGGATAAGAAATGAGTGCAGGATCTAAGTATTTATCTCTGGTCGTCTACAAAAGCTACCAGCTCTACAACATGCGGCCGATGTCATCTCCTGTCTCGTATACAGAAGGACGCCACTTCCGCATTTGTCTATGATTTGGACGTGCTCCTTGAGTCTTCACAGCAGCTTTTCTCCTGCCTACCCCCCTCCCCATGGAAGTTGCATGCGCAATCCGGACCAATCTTTATGGTCGGGAGATCTTGCTGTTGGGAATTAAAGCTTTGTTCAGCAGGTGATTACAGTTTTGTTCAGTTTGGGAGTCCATCCATATGCGTTGCCTTGGTCTCGCTAAGTATAGACTGCGGAAGGATTCCCGAGTGACGAAATTTCTCTGACGTGCATGATCTCCCGAGATGTCAGAACATGGCGATTTTCCGCCGGAAGGTCCTTCAAAGAGAAAGGAGGATGGAAGAATGAATAAACGTGACCATTAAGACCCGCGTGATAACTCATTTGCCATATATATCCCTGAATGTACAGCAGGGGGAGGCTAATGGAAGATCTATCCTTTTAACCCTTTCCTTTCTCAAAGGCACACCCTGCCAATCGGGAACCGGAACCTAAAGGGTAAATGTCGACTGGTAGGATGAGAAGATTCCAGGCTTGCATCACTTTTTCTCTGGGGCAGACTTTGTTCTTTGGCGTTTCACTTCGGCTCAAATATTGCGTACTGCATAACCTTTCCATAACTGCTTTCACTCGAGATCGGCTTCCCCGCAATGGAATTTGACCCTTGCTCCTGCCTGCGTGACGCTTGTGATGGATGTACGTTGGATATGGATCTTCAAGTACTGGTAGACACATTCGCGGGCGATGAAGACGCGAAAAAAGAGAGCCGACAGCTCTTTCTTCCTCAAAGGGGATTCTTGGAAGTCTCCTGTGAATTGTGTTAGAAGAGGGAGGCTTTGCGGGGAAGGGTGAGTCAGCATACTTGCAGATCCTTGATTAGGTGCATCCGCAACCGCGTCACATTCTCAAGGCAGCTCGACAGTTTGGAATGGTGCAGTCGAACGTAAAAGTATGCCTTCCAGCAAATCTCGTTGCGAGCCTTAGACGTTTCTCGGTCCATAAATTCGAATACTGAAGCCGCTTTGGAATGCTACCCCGCCCATCATCCATATATTTTCTTTCAAGAGGATGGAAAACTTACCGTTAAAAAGAAAGTCTACATTTTCTTGGGTCAGTCAAGCTTTTTCTTATAAGGGGAGGGGGCATTAAGCCACCCAGTTGCTGCCAAAAAGCTTATACTGCTTGTGCAATGACAGTTCTGCGATATTTCATTCACATGGTAGGAAGTGAACTAATCATCCATATGACAAATTTCGTTTTCAAGTGGGGAAAAGGTGATCAGATAGCCCCGTATGAGCCTTTGCTCCTCCTTCTCCACCTTTTAAAAAGGGCCTTGTAAATATGCGTGGGTTTTATTGCAGCAGTATTCTTTGAACGAAAAGAATTCAGATTAAATTACCAAGGTATATTCATCAGCATCCCTGATATCCCAACCTTTCACCTTTTTTATTTTAGACTGATGCTGTTATATTTCATGACTCACGTACTAGTCCTGGTTACATCATGGTTGAAATGGGAGAGTGAGAAAAGCTTTTTTGCACCGGTCATATTTAGCGTGAATAGAGAAGTGGAAAGAGCCGGAAGAAAATTTCATTCGAGCAGAAATAACCCATGTTTGGACGGTCCCACAAATGTTGATTTTTTTTGTCTGATTTCCCGACCTTGAATTCAGGGCGTAGTTGTGGATACGTACATGCGATTATGAATGAAAGCCCCGCCGCTCGTTCAATGAGATTCTCGGAAATGAGCTAGAACACAATGAGTTTCCTTATTAATGAACAAAAAAGAACTTTGTTAGCATATCCTGCGAGTACTGTCGAAAAGATATTAAGGGTCATCCCTCAGTTTTTCTCCATCAAAATATGCAACAAATTTGCGAAACATCGCGCTCTATTGCTTATGAGATAACGAAGACAGTGGTGTCATTCACCAAACGATGATTCGCCAGTGCGGGCTAGTTTCCTGCACAACGAGACATGGCTTTCCGCATTGTGTCATGCGTCTCTTACAAGGGTTGAGGGTCCCGCAGAAGTTCTTTGGAAACTAATAAATCAAAAGTATTGTCTCCTCGCGAGAAGTCTTTTCGTGTGTTCCTCGCATTTCGGCGAGCGAGGTGGAGGAAGGGCAGTTGTCGGAGACGTATCCCTGCGATAGTGGGTTTGAACTGCGCAGATTGGATTGCCAAGACTCAAGGCTGCTGGAATTTGGAATGCTTCCGTTGAGAATCATTTCGTCGGCTTGGCACAATCGCTGGAGGGAAATTTCACACGTGCGTGCACAAGTGGGTCAGGCCGTCCTTCCCCCGGGCGCACGACTCTCCATGCTTTCAGACGAGATTAGATCAGACGCCGACCGAATCTTTGAGCCTTGGGGGAACCCCACTAATTTCAAGTTGCTCATTCGATGGAACCAAAACGGTTTTTTTTTCTTCTTTTTTTTTTAGTGGGGTGTGGGTGGGTGGGAGAGATAGGATCATCCATGGTGAACATACTGGTACATGCAGTCAGGGAAAGTCGCAGGCGCCTGTTCCCACGCCTTCTCATTCGCCTCGTCTGGCATGATCCACTCTCGTCCATGCTTTTTTCATCTCGTCCATGCTTTCTGTGTAGCATTAGCCACGTGATAGTGATCCATCTGCCATGATAAAAATTCTATGCTGCAGTGCGACAGGTGGCCGCAGTGCAAGTCTTCTATTCATGCATGCAACTTTAGCTGAGGTTCTGGAGACATTATCCACTTGCGAAGGCCTCTGCCCTCGTTGCGGGCGGGGATGTTGATTGAATGCAAATGAGATTTATGCATTCATACCATCATACAGAAGCAATAACGAAATAATAATCCCGCAATTTCTATATATATATATAGCACCCTTACGTAGAGAATGTGTTGACGGATGCGTAACATACCGGAGGAGAAACGAGAGAGATTGTTATCCGTTTGGGAGATGCTTAGATATTTTTTTCTACCCCGAAGGAAGTGATCCAATAAAGCTCCACTCAAGGAATTCGGATGCGCCCGCCAAGCCGTAGGTTTATTGCGGACGCGTGCTTAGCATGCTGGTGATTCAAGACTTGAAATTACACGAGGGATTATCGTCCTTTGTCGTCATGCCCAGTAGATTGGCATGCTGACTACAAGAAGGTGGATTTCCTCGTGCTGGTGATATTGTTATATGCTGGAAATTCTCTGAAACAGATCGGGTATGGAAATCTGACACAGATGTAGCTTTGGAACTGCGACCGGGGAAATACAGCTTTTGCATGAAAAGAAATTTAAATTCTAACGCCACAATCGCCGTTGCATTGAAAGTGGAAAAGCGAGTATATGCGGCTTTCTTGGCAATTGCTTCCCTTCCCATCCTCACAGAAAACATTGCTCTCATCTCATTGTTTCGCCATCATGGCATGTAACTATGACCTGCCATGCCCATCTTCACATCCATGGTGCATTCGACTTTCAAAATATGGGTACCAATAGTGTCATACTTGATCCAATAAAAATTCTGGGAAAATAATTATCGAGGACGTTGTTATGAAACTAATTCTAATGCAGTTTTTGGACGGATTGTTTATCTATTAATGATTAAGGGTGAATTTGTGAACAGAGCACTATCCGATAATGCAGCTTTATTTCAGAGAAAATGCATTATAAATACGGTAAATAAAGCTGCATTATCGATAGTAATCGGTTCAAAAACCCACCCTAAAACTAGAGCTTCGGGAGATACGTAGTGGGTCAAAAGTCTCAATGCAGTAACAGTATTCATTGAAGTAGGTAATCATTAGGTAGCGGATTTTTATGCAAATGCACTTTCTTCCTGCAGCGTCATAGGGGCATACGACCCAGATATGAGCGCGTATTACTCGGAGAGAAAGCGATTGGTGCCATTTTAGATGCATAAAAATGCATTTTTTGCGGTTTTTTTTTGCTAATTTTCATGTGTGTATTCACGAATATTCCACACATTTTGTTAAATATTCAGAATTTGCTTTTAGGTTGCCGATTATTTCCAGGAAAACGTCAGAAAATGTTGCTATAATCTCCCACTTCTTCACTTTCAAATAATTAAGTTTGGGTTCAAGTGTTTCCATATTTGCACAAGACCTAATTTGAAAATTTCATCATATTTATTTGTATATTTCTGCACTTAACTTCGCATCCCCCCTGGTAGTACTAAAGAAGAGCATATAATGAAATCGTGTGAAAAGAGGGGATATTCGGAACAGTTTTATGACTTCAGCTATTCAAATTGCAATCCGGTGTGGGATTGCCCTCGTCCTAAATGATGTTGAAGCTTATACAAAGCTTTTTAAGCAGTAGATTCTTTTCCAGGTCCAAATGAATAATCATTCCATATACGGAATTTATCAAGACCATATGATGAAATCCCTAATGAAGAGTCTTTCAAAAGTTATTGACACGTTTTTGAAAATAATAGCTCAAAGCTATAGCAATTTCATTAAAAGCAGCAACGAAGTATCATGCTTGTTTTTTTTTCCTATTTAATTACTTATAACCTACATTTCCAGCATTTTAAGTTATTCCAACTTGACAGATAAAATCACATATGCTCAAAATGACTGCCCTGCCTTTTGATGCACTTTTGCTTTCGAGTGGCCGTGATTTGAATTAACCAAGTGCCCGTTGTTGTGATATGGTGACCCTTCAGAAATCCCCAAAGAAAATACTGGTGTATTCAACTGATCCCGTGTCATTGACCCATTTTAGTTTTAGGGCGAGAATGAATGAGCTGTGACAGGGAATGAGGACCGTTACTTGTCGGTGTTGTAAGAGTTTTGGTATGCCCTGAAGAGAAAAATTAAGCAAGATTAGGGTTGGAAGTTCTAGTGTTGAAAAATAAAAGTTATTAGTTGTCCTGAAGGAAAGCTGCATAAGATACTGTTATTACAGGGTGTCCCAAAAGGTATGGAAACATTGTAAAAATCAATATCGCTTCAAATTATGCCTCAAATTGAATGGTTAAGACAGTAAAATAAAGTGCATCTTAAGCATTTTTCAACATGTTATTGCAATTCCACACGGGCACCATTTGTGATTCTGTTTATGTATAAGTGATGTATGAGCTCTCGCCACACCTCATGCAGAGTGTCAGGCATGACTGGATAGCTGGGACGATTCTGTTCTTTAGATCTCGATCGATCGTACACTTTTCGCCAGAAAGTGATGTTCCTGGCATAGTCCACAAGAAAAAGTCCTCTGGGGTTAGTTCAGGTGATCTTGGTGGCCATGGAATGGACCCACTTCATCCAATCTACAGATTTTTTTTCGTACAAATGTTCGCTAGAACGTGGAGGTGCAACATCTTGGAATATTAGACTTTTATTGTGCCTGAATTCATCCCTCTTGGATTTTTTTTTTCTGGTGGGGATATGTCAAGGACATTGCTTACTCAAGAAATGTTGACTATCTCCAAGATCTGAAGAACAGAATTGTCGCAGCTATCCAGACAGTCACTCATGACACTGCATAAGTTGTGGTAAGAGCTCGAACATCGTTTGAAGGTCTACAGAGCTATGAATCGTGCCCAATTGGAATTGCAATAACAGGTTTTAGAATATTTGAGTTGCACTTCATTTTACTGTTTGAATCATTTTATTGGAGGCATAAGTTAGAGAGATATTAATTTTTAAAATGTTTGCATACCCATTTGGGACACCCTGTACTTTGAAGAAATTGCTATACCATTGTAGATAGTATGTAGATAGACCAGTTTTCTCTTACATAAATCCCTCACACTATAGTCTGCAATGAAAGGGAAAAGACATCCGTTTTTCTCATGGGTGGCACCTCCATGTGGCGACAAATAACGATGTCGTATGAACTTTCAGGGGAATTTTTACGCATTTGTGACGGTTGCAGTTCGTTTTCATTTCATGCTCAAAATGGAGAGTTAACCGTGCCACCCTCTCCTGTATTTCTGCCGCATATCTCAATATTTCGCTGACTGACTCGTGCTCGTCGCCGATACAAAGTTTCATTGACCTATTCCTCAGCCGAGCGCATACTGGCTGAACAACTATATGGTGATGAGGTACATTCGCAAATGCAGTGTCATCTTGGTTGGCCTTTTTGAAATTGTATTGAAGCGTTTGTGACAATTGCCTCTTGTAACTCCGGACTAGGGAAGCATGGTGCGTTGAGATGTGAGGGGAACCTAGTATTTCAGTTTAGCGAATGGAAAGTGTTAGGCCTTATCGCCGCGAGAGATACACTCTGGCGTAATCCCTTAAAGGACTCACACTTTGTATTGATAGTAAATGATCTAACGGTGGTAGGAATTACTGTCAAATCTCCATTTTTACATAATATTCTCTTGAGATCAGCGTTTTCCAGGCGAACGTAATATAATATGCGCTACGCTCGAGGTTGCCTTTCATCGCTGTGATTATCATTATTGAAGATGAGACTCGACACACCCCAACGAAAGAGTCGTTCTTTCTGTTACGGAACGTGGGAAGATGTGTCATTTCGTGACTCGTTTCCACTTGATTTCAGGTGAGCTGCAACAACGCCGCATTGAGTGGGGAGCCTAGTGGGGGGAAGAAGTCCGGTGGGACCGGGAATATCTACCAGGTGACTTCATCAGGAGCATCCACTGGATCCGCGGCACCTCTCGTCCCTGTCATCCCAATGTCAGGGTCAGGGGGTGTTGCCCTCGCACTTCCATTGCGAGACCCTGTCTGGGAAATTCCTGCAGGTTCCGCCAGTCTTGTCACTACTCCTAGTTCTGCCAGCTGTAGTCCCAATCAGATTGAGGCTTCCAACCCTCCTCCGGGTGAGCAGAATCGGTTTCTCGAATACATTATTGGTACTTGGACAATCTCTCATATCCATATATCTATTAATACAAATACGTAAATAATGCCTGGCACTCTTAGAGAAAGTGCTCATTGAAGTTGCTGGAATAACCTCTCTTACATCTTATCTTCCTTATCTCGTGTACTTCAGTTCATCAGCACTTTGAAAAAAAGAATCGCTTTGTTGCCCTGTCCTCTCCGTTTTGCGGCAGGATACGAGAAGCAGTTACGATGTTGCGCAGTATAACATTCATATGCAGCATAAAGTCGTTCCTTGGGACACCATGCAACAAAAGGAGGAAGACAGGGCTCTGAACTTATTCACATTCCAGTGAAAGGCAATTCCCGCTCCTTTATTGAGCATATTTCTGTTAGTTTGAGTGGTCAACATAATTTACATTGCTGCATTAATATAAAAGCGTGATTCCCAAAAGCAGTCCGTGAATGATTGACATTTTAATAACCCAAGTTTCGAGGTTTTCGATGCAATTAGAAAATTTTACATTGATGAGCAGATAGTAAATCAGTGTTGCTGCTGATGGAGCTCAGGCGCGTGTGTTTTTTTCTTTAAAAAAATGTACCTATGGGATTTATTAATTCCGTCAGCATATTTTTTTTTTGTCGGGAAGAAGCAGGGGGATTAAGAGAGTTAAGAATCCAATAGCTAGTAGCTAGGCATTCGAGACAGAAATGGAATTAATTCGTTGATGTCTATTTCTCGAGTACCGCTTTTTCGCTAGGTGAATGGTAGATTGCAAGGTCTCATAGCCACTGGCTCAAACAATCAAGTGGAAGTCCCTTACCGTTCGGACGCTTGCTGCACAGTTAGAAAGCTCGTCGGAATGCCATCATAAGAATGATGATGCTCTGGATAGTGACGCCATTGACTAACGTGAAACAGGAGCTTAATAGCGTCGATCGCATGAGTGACTGAGAGGGAATTTCTTCATTGGAGATTCGCTGTCATAATGTTTTTTCCTCCGCCCCGCAATCTTGTGGGAATCTGCCTTTGAAAGGAAAAACATGTACTAACGGGATTGGCAGCTTTACATGTATGTTCAACTACTTTTCATGCCGAGATTCTTCTAACGAAAAGAAACTGTTTCCTTTGTATGGGAGGACAAGTAGATTCTACTAAGAATGTATTGGCATGGCTAAACATGTTCCATCTGCATAGCCGTGCAGATCGTGTCACCTAGCCTATCATTGCTGACTAAGCACTGCAGGTATTTGGCTTTGATTGAATATTGCCACTCTTCGTTATTATAACAAATTATTGAATATTCAAGGAAGTTGCAACGATTACCTCATATCTTGTGTGTATGGCGAGGTTTGAGGTGAACTGAGATCTGGAACCTATGCTCGGCAGCAGTAGCGTGCCCAGAAAATCTCAAGAAGGGGGGGGGGTTGACATGAAAAATGTATAACCCACCCCGTATTTATGGCCAAATTTAAACATTTTTGAGAATCGAACGGGTAAAATGGGAGGGGGGGAAGGGATTGTGAACCCCGAACCTTCCTTCCCCTTGGGCCCGCCGCTGCTCGGCACGTCTGAAGGAAAAGGAATGGCTTGACTAGTTGACCGCCCAACAGTATTGGTATTGCTTCTGCAGGTAATTCCTGTGACTCAGAAGTGTATAGGCTCTTTTATCAATCTTGGCCTAGCCATAACCCTTTGGGCATCTGTGAATCTCTTGCACTGTGAGCGTATGTGCATAGCTTTCGGTTCCCGCAGCACATAAAATATGCTTACGAATTAAGACTGATGTCTATGTCCGCATTTGCTTGACATTCCCATAAAAAACCAACATATTTGGGAAACTAGGCCTATCCTGAGGACGAGCTCGACCTCTACTCGGGATGTCGATTTGGGCAGAAATGCGCTTTGGTGCTCAACTGAAACCTTGAACTGCGATTAATTTAATTTCGCTTAAAAGCGGTGCTTTTGCTGCAGAAGGGATTTATTTTATGAAAAAATGGCGATAATTAAATGCGTCTGGATTGAAGACAGCAGGTGGAACTGACGGATGAATACGGGCCATATGGTCAGGAGTTTATTTGGACTCGGCTGCACATAGTACTAGAAGGCCTGTTCTTCGACGCAGGATTGAATCTTAATTGTGTTAAAAGTTTCTCAGGTGTGTTGGTCGAAAGAAGTAGCAAGGGACACTGATGGTAAGTGAAGGGAGAGATTAACGAAGGAGAATGCAAATGACTATAGATGGAGGTTTTCGCGGTGTGCGCATGCTTGACAGTGAGGCAGTCGCAGTGCATTCTGGGTAATGTCGGCTTCCCTTGCCTAGACTTGAAGGGCACATGCTTGACAACACGTCAGGGGCAGCCATCTTTGCCCAGTTCCTGAATGCCGAACTTCAAGCCGCTTATCCAGGCCTATGTTCACAGTTGTAGACTAAATATCATGTGCCATGAGTCATTTCAAAATCCTTTGGTGCTGCATATAAAAGGGTGACTTAGGCCTAAAGTTGGCCACATAATTTAATGCAACTGGTTTTAGCGTATTGCCTCTCCCGCGTATGTTGCACCATTTGTGTTGGGAGTAAGTCTAAGTCTGCAGCGAATAGACTAGTAGACCGTGGTCTACCTTCCTAACCAACTTTTATCTTGTACGCTACATTGAACTGGGGGGAAAAATACGAAGTAATGACTTCACTGTAAGGTCAGCCTTTGAAGTCTATTCCATTGAGTTGGGTTGGCCTATGAATATTTGGAATTAACTCAAGGTGGTGCTAAGGGTTGACTAGCATTTGTGTAAAGTTATCTTAGGCCTTTGATGAGTAAGGTTAACATTGTTTATGCATAGGGTAATAATAGGGGTAAATTCAATTTCCAGAACTAAGCAGGAGAATGTAGTTTAGATGCTATTTAGCTTGGCCTGTTATTTACCAACAGAGACAGCCAATGAAAGTAACCCTAAACAATCATAGGTTTATTTTTCTGTTTATGGAGTTACTTTTGGTTTAGAAGGAAAGTTACTTCATTATCTTGGTGACATGCTAGCTTTTAAGTTTGGAGTTGGATATTTGAATGCATACTGTTGGTGTGACATTGATGCCATGTATTTGATATATTTGCATTCTTTTGGGTTCTGAGGGATTAGTCATTGCTTTTTTACTTCTACTATAGTAATTACGTGAAAGTCAAGCCCATTTCCTTAGTACAGTGACGTGCTGCACAAGAGAGGCTCCATACTGAACGAATGCTTCACGCAGGGTCGTGAGTGTGTTTATCTGTAAAAGTTGGATTGTGATCTACAATATCAGCTTGAAATCTATATGGATTAACAACGATGCATTCTCTGTGAGACACATTTTAAGGTTCGCTTAAAACATGGATTCGAAGACGAAGACACAGAGGGCAGTATGTCATTATAATGGTGAGGTCCGTGAAGTGAACCGAAATTCCGTCCAAATTCGTGCACGGGTCGACTTTCGCGTACTTACGTTACCAACTGTTGGATGCCAAAAGCCAGTATCTAAATGATTGACTGCAGATTGTTAAGTGGTGGCTGCAGAGTAACTGAAAGCCAGTTCACAGCACAACTATGGAAATCTGATTGATTGATTGTTGCCACTTATATTTAACAGAATATTGAAAACTTTAAAACAAAGACAGATAGTCATGCATTATTACTACAAGTTAGGTATTTTGCAATTTAATATTCAATTATTGTGGTTAGACTTTTAATCCTTCCTTATTCAAAGGGGTATGCAACAATAAAGGAACAAAAATGTTTATTGTGAATATTAATATTATACATATTAATGAATTTAGCCTTGATTATTTTCCTACTTTCATACTTGGAAAAAATGCAAGTGTTAAATCTAGTTTCCCTTCCTTTTTACTCTGATAAGAGTGAAGAGGGAGGAAAATTACTCTGTTGTTTTCTTCACTTTGCTCTTCTATGGTAAAATGGAGAGTGATAATTGGCAAAAAGAGAGGAAAACTGGAGTTAGTGCATTGTTCTTTCAAGTACTTGTATAATCTCTTATGTTCTGTCATGATCCTTCAGTAGTAAATCAAGTTCTTGATGACATTTGCAAGGAGTTCCTTGGACTTGGTTTGCTAAAGTAGAATACACTGCTTATTGCATCTCCTCATGTTGGAATGCTGTCCCTGAATGACTTGTAAAGGTGAAACAGATGGATTTAAACATCTCAGTTCCATTCAAGAATTGAGACAGATATATGTTGCATATGCAGAATGTGGCCTTTCATTGTCACACTTTACAAGTCACGTATCAAAGAGTTCACTTTTTAAGTGTTAGTTATAGTGTGTTTGGATTAAGCAGCATTTCACAAGATGTACTGCTGGTGGTGCTATATGTAGGTTATGATTGTGCAACTCCAGTCCCAAAATTCATTGCCATCCCTTTGTCTGCTAAATGTGCAGTTAGTGCACACACCTTCCTTTTTTTAATTCCATTTACATGCTTCACCGGATGAGTGAATTACTGTCAAGGAATTGAAATGCTTATGCCATTATTGACAAGATGCTTAAAAAATAAAGCAGAAGTTGCTTAATGCCCATGGCTCTTGTAGTTCTCACCATCATAAAAATGAGAACCTAGACAGCAAGACTAATAGTCTTGAATTTGTTGCAGGTGGGATCAGCAGTCAAACGGAGATGAAAAATGCTCCTTCAATTCCATCTGCTGAACTTACAGCATTGGATGTAGAGAACACGTGAGTTTCCCATTGGAATAAGTGTTTGTGTATTTATATTTGAAACTATGAGAAACTGCCCAATAATAGGCCTAAAGTCTATGGGAAATGTTGCCATCTCTCTGAAATAGCAAGACTTTTGCAGTGGAATGGCAAGATTAGCTTCTACTTTAGAAGGTAGAGGTTCCACCCCCTGAAGAGCCAGCCTCCTTGGGTGATAGTCTAGACTTTCTTAACTATCTCTCCATTTGATGATTCTCTTTTCAGATGGCATATTTTTGCTCCTTTTTTGCATAGCTATATTCCAGAATAGTACAAAACCAGCTGTTCACCTGTAGCAAAATATTTTTACCAGTCTGACAGAAGGGCTATTTTCCAGGAATGCAGTAATTTATCTTTCTTCCAGGAGAAGAATGATTATTTAGGAGTATTTTATGTACTCATTACAACAAAAAAAAAGCATGACCTTGAAGGAGTTGAGCAATCTTGAAGTAGTCTTGTACACAAGCTCATTCTAATGTACCATTAAATTGGTTAGAGTTTCAAGTGTGCAGGATGAATATTAAGGGCAAAAACTTGCTGAACAAGCAGATTCCAATAGCAACTATAAGGTCATACTAATTGCTTGAAAAGGTCACCTAAAAGATTTTTACTGGTTTTTTTTTACTAGAAACTAGATTTTTACTAGAAACTTAGCAGAAAACTCTTAAAGTTGTGCAGAAAAGTCAAGCATTGTTTTGAAGTCCTGAGCTGAAGCAATGCAGAAAATACTTGTCAAATGCCTGAGGGATCAGGGAAGTGTGTGGCACCATTGAAGGTGCCCGTTTCCTTTTCTCTTTCCTTTGAGTGAATTCACTATTGGGCCATTGTTGGGAGTCTAACTGGGAGGCTGTGCTAAGATGAGACCTCTTGAGGCAATTTCAAGAAATCATTAAGGTTTTGGATTCATGAAGGGATATTGGGATGCATGTATCAGCTTCATGGATCAAGCACCTTAATTTCATGGAATTTCCTCCAGAGATTACATCTCGATGCCTATAGTGAATTGCAACAGCCCTATAGTGAATTGGCTTGAAGAAAAGATAATAGAAAATGGTGCCATCCACTTCCCTCAATCCTTGGGCATTCAACAAGTTTTCTCAGCATTGCTTCATCTCAGGATATCAAAACTTTGCTTGATTTCTCTGCATATCATTAGGAATTTTTCTGCCAAGTTTCATTGGTAAAAACTTTCTAGGTGACCTTTTCAAGCCATCAGTATGACCCCATATCTGCTATTTGAATTTGATTGTTCAGCAATTTTTCTATATAAATTTTCATCTCACACACTTGAAACTCTATTCTTGAGATTTTTAAATCAGCGTTAAAGGCATGGCAACCCACTACCATCTTACTTTATCATATGCAGACTTATATCTTTAAAAAAATGGCATTCTTATGGGCCCAGAGTCAATCAAACATACAAATTTTTTAAAAACTTGTCTTGAATACTTGGTTATACTTAGTTGACATTGCTGTTCTTTGGAAAAGTTTTAAAAATTAGAGGGAAGAAGACAACATCTAAAAGGGAGTTAGTTCCATATGGATCTGGTTGTGTTAGGGAAGATGTACCTCATACATTCCCATTTTGGATTGCCAAGAGTTAGACAAATTTGCATAGACAACAGATTGTAGACTTCCATGCCCTTATCCTACATGAAATCAATTTAAGAGGAGAAAAAAAAAGATATTTAATTTCTTTCAGCAATTTTTCATTTATTTTTTTGTCTCTTCTTACAGCCCAGCAGATGGAGTGAAAAACTGTGATAAAATGATGTCTTCTAATGAGACATGTACATCAGAGATGCGTATGGCTGCTACACCTAAGTCTCAGAATTCTAATGAGAGCCATGTTGATTTGGGAGAGGACTGCTCTGGTAAGAGTTCATCGGCCCAGGTCAACTCAGCTCCCAGTGCAGCCAATGGTGATATCCCCATTGATCAGTTGAAGGCCATGCTCACTTCTCAGTTGGAGTATTACTTCTCCAGGTATGATTTTGGGATTTACTTTAGATCTTGGTGAAATCTTGTTTTTTTATTCTTGAAGTGTCCCATGGTAATTGTTATACTTGGTTGTTAAGCCATGGATTTAGCTTTTAATCTCTGGACCCAAGTAACATGTATACATGGCTTTTGGTTCCAAATCCAACTCTTTGGTTTTTATTTTCCTCTGGTCTGAGAATGTTAAACTGTCAAAAAAGTAATCAAGTTTTGTTGCAATAGCAAAGTCAGGATGGTGTTTCATGTTAACCAGTTCAGTCACTATGCCCATTTGGAAAAAGCTAATGAGTCTGGTTTTTATCTGTTCACATGTCATGCCCATTTATTCATTCTAATGCACTTGCACTGAAATATGGATCCACTCAAGTATAGTCACCAAATGATAACTATGGTAACAAATATGGTAATAGCTGTTGTATTGAGCCAAAGAGACTAGTAATGTCTGACTGAAATTGTTGAGGATGTAGAGGAGTGTCTGCAATATTTTGCTTTGACCTTCAGCCTCCAATGAGTCACCTTAAAATGCTAAGTAAACTCCCTGAGAAGCACAAAGTTGGGTGTTCAGGAACATAATCAGTATCTCACCACAGGATCTTCATAAAGTTCCCTTCAAAAATGTTGACAGCCTTTGATACTCTCCCATTTGTTAAAGTACCAAAAGCAAGCTGTTGGAATGCCTGTTCCTAGCTTGGTAGTTTGCACTTCATACAGGCAGTTCTAAAAGTTTCTGACCCACAAAAATGAAGATGGAGACAAGATTAATGGGAGTATATTGATTATATTATATTCCATATTGCTAAGAATATCCCAGGTACCAACTCTTACATCAATATTTGATATGACTTCCACAGACCTCTAGGAACCTCAGATTGGCATCCCGAAACTCTAGACTAATTGATGGATGACATTCGTCATGTTGGTTTCTCACTCTGCTTAGAACTCTGGCAATGACTGATGCCCTATTTATGGGGTGGGGCTGATGCAGGGCACTTGGCTAGAATCTGTGCCATAGGTGTTCCAGGTGTTGAGGTTCAGACATCTCCCTGGAAACTTCTAGACCTTTACCTTAGTCTCTTCAATGGCATGGGACATTGGGTGACATGTACCAGATCCATTTAAGCTAAACTAATCTGATTTCACAATGGTCCATTTAAAAATGTTTTCAAGAGTTTTTTTTTTCTTTCAAGAGAAAAATCTCATGTATCTCATGTACTTGATGCTGGGACAACCTTGTTATGATTTGCTACCTCAAGAACCTGGATTACTTATATATTGTTTTTTCTTTTAGACCTAATGATCTACAATGCCATATGCCAGGTGGTGCAAAAAAAAAAGCATCATGTTTGACACCTTATGAAATCTGTTGTGGATGATCTAGGTTTGTGATATTTTCATATTAAATTGGAAGCACCACAAAATTTGTTTTATGAAAGTTTCATGCACCTAAGTTGTCTGAGTAAATATCTACAGTCGCTCCAATTGGAGTCATAAAATGGACCTTTCTGTGCACAAGATGAATGGAGTTTCAGGACTGCTGGAATGATTTCTTTCCCTTGAGGTTATGAATACTGCTTTTTACACCATTTCTCATCATAGTATTCTTCATGGTATCGATTCAGATGCTACGATGTATGACATCTATTCTATTCTACAATGTGTTGAATACTACAATGAGAACTGGCATAAAAAGCAGTATTTATGACATCAAGGTAGAGAAATCATTCAAGCAGTCCTGAAACTCCATCCTCCTCGCGTGTGAAAAGGTCCATTTTATGACTCCACTTTGAGAGACTGTCGATATTTATTCAGACAACATAGGTCAAACGCTGCATTTTTTTGCACCACATAGTAAGTATGTGACAAAGTAGGCATAATTTACAACACAAAAGTGACATTCTAACCTTTTCCATGGTGCCAAGTCATATTGTCTAAATATAGAAATTTTAGTAGCCCAGTTGAACAACCTGAGTTGTTGACAAAATGGTAACTTCCACCCTGAATTATTAAGTTTGCCACATTATGCCATTATTGCATGAATATGCAAATATTCAGTAAGTGGTGGCAGTGGTAAAGTGGCCCTCGAAAAGTGATACCCTGTTTTTCTTTTGCATTGAATTTCCCTGCCCCTCATGCCTTTATTACCTGAAAGACACCTTATGTCAGGCCTCTGCAGAAAGTGTTTTAAGGTACTGGTTTCTGTATTAGTAAGTATATTTAGTCATCAGAACATTTTGCTGCTTCAGAAAAATATGTAGTTACAGGTGCAGCTTACTTTTATTAATTCATTTACTCCAAGTGTCTTATTTCCTATCCCCTATAAACTACAAACCTATTGGATATTTTTCATTGTCCTTAAACATGTCCCTCAGCCTTGGGAATGGTAGAAAAGTAGGAATGGTTGAAGACAATGAAATAAGTACTTTAATTTTTTTAATTAAATGCCATGCAATGCAAAGTTTGACTTTAACACTTGGGAGATTATCAGTAGTAGAAGACTTGGCTAAGTTTGTGACATGTAAGCTCTCTAGGCTCAAAGGTATGTGTTCTTGTGTCATGCATCATAGTTGTGTGCAGGTGCTGCTGTCTTGAGTTGTGGGGTCAAATAAGGCAATCATCTGATGTCTTATGTAGAATGTGTAAAAGGTACCACTTTTGCTGTTTGCCAATGTACATTTTCAGGCTTTTAGCTGGAGTATGTTCTTGGGCTCTGATCATTCGTCATTTCTAGATTTTTTCATGGCTATTTATGCATGTAACTGGTATCTTCATTAGTTTTAATAATGACATTTTTTTACATGAACTATTGTTTTTGGACAAAATTTTTGTAACACCTGGGATGGCAGAAATTACTTTTTGCATAACAGTGAAAGGGTTAACTATGTAGTGCTATGTGAAACTGGGTTAGCTTCTCTTTTGGATGCTGATAATCCAAGTGTTTTTCGAGTCTTCATGTCAGCCTAATTTGCAGTTTTTCAAGAGGAAGCCATTGTCTGGTTTTTTTTTTTCATGGAGGCATGAATGCTTATGGCACTTAGTGGAAGTTGTTTGGGCTAAGTGTAGATCTTAGTTATCAAATGACAAGGAGATTTGATTTGATTGCTTTTCACCAGGGAGAACTTGGCAAATGACACCTACCTGCTGTCTCAGATGGACAGTGACCAATATGTGCCCATATGGACAGTTGCAAACTTCAATCAGATTAAAAAATTGACCACTGACATCAATCTCATCACCCAGGTTCTCAAAGGTGAGCTTGAACACTGTTTCATGATATTTTTTAATGTTTAACCTCTTCAGTGCCAAGGTCAATTATATTAGTTTTCTTTGCCTAAATTGTCAGCATCATTGATGCACCACTTCGATCAGAGGGTTTGAATATATTCTAATGTATGGTAGTGACATCTGGTCTGTGTATAGGGTAAGGTTTGTCTTGACAACTGGCATTGTCTATAGGACTTTCAGTTATTTTAAGAAAATAAGTTATTATGGTCCAGGCACTTAAAAGGTTAATAATTTTCTAAGGGATACTTCATTCTGGTAGCAAGTGAGGTTCAAAAGAAAAATAATTGTTCAATCAGAAACACTGCTTCATTCTCACATCTACCTTCTTAATTCTTGATATGCTCCTTTTGTTTAGCATCATCTTATAATTTCAACTTCTGTGACTATTGTGGGTTCTGTTCAAGTATTATCACTTTTCTCTCATCAAAGAGAATGATCTGTTTCTTCTCTTTCTGTCTTTCCACTCTTAGTCTTTATCAATTTCATGTTTGGGAAAGCTGACAAACGTAGTGCTTAATGGTCTTTCATTGTGGACTCCTCATGCTCTTTGACTGCAATTTGCCTTCAGTTGACTAATGAATAAACATGGTGGGTCAGAGAGTCCTGTTCATGTTTTATTGAAATGTTGGCATTTCATTCCCAAGATGACATTTGATCCATCTCAGGGTAGATGAGCAAGCAGTTCTTGTCTGTTTGTTTGCTTACTATCACTTTCTTATAGATCCACTTACTATGAGAGTGAGATCTTGTATCCCTTTCTTATTTTGAGAACTTCAGTAGTTCTGAAAGAGATATTGACAGAAATGTGATCTTTGTAATTATATGTTACTTTTTTTCCAGACTCCCCAAACCTTCAAGTAGATGAAGAGAATCACCGAGTTCGTCCGAACCACAAGAGGTGTATTGTGATATTACGGGAGATTCCCAAAGCCACCCCAGTTGAGGAGATTGAAGGATTGTTTGATAGTGAACACTGCCCTAAGCTAGTGTCCTGTGAATTTGCCCACAATGACTCTTGGTACATCACATTTGACAGTGATGAGGATGCCCAGCAGGCTTATCGCTACCTCAGGGAAGAGGTCCAGAATTTCAAGGTTGGTTCAACCATAATCACACAGCTGGTATGCAGTCTGGGTGCTTGTTGAATGTGGTATGAAGTGGTATGGAATGTGGTAATGGAGGTAGAGGGCTTTTTTCTTCATTTTGTTTGCATTCCATGCCTTCTTGAGATAAGTAGAGACTCATACTGGCCTGATAAAACATAGTGAGATAAAATGACCTACAATCCAAAATTTGGTGATCAAAAGTTTCTGCCCTGAGATGTAAGGTGGTGATAGATTGATGGAGCAAAATTTATTTTTCATCATTACCTCCCTGGACTTGTCCCCATTGATGGAAGAGGGCTTCAAATCTGCTGGAAAATTTTCTTCCTCCATATTCAACTAAAAATGCTTTGACATCTCATTGAATTGACATTGTAATTTTCACCTTTGTGGCTGTTTTGCTTTAAATTTATAGCGTTGAATGAGCTTTTTTGTAAGGATGATTACATTTTTATCAAATGAGTGCTTTAATAATGCAGGGTGAACCTCAAGTCTGGAAACAGCTCTCACAGCACCTGCTCAATGTGTTCTCCCTTGTACATGCACTTTTGTAGTGACTTCAGCCATTAACTTGGTACACTTTTGAGAAACTGATGGTCATGGTATCTCAACAAGCCTAAGCCTATGAGATATGCCCCTCAATATGTAAGCAAAGCTGTTAGAAGTGTAAAGCCTATGTTTCTAGACTTGATCTTCACCCTGTACAAAATTTCATTACTGCTCCATATTCAAATTTTGCCATTTTGAAATGAATACATTTTGGCTGGAACATTTCTTACATACAAATTATTAATAATAAAAAAATATAAATATGCCTAAAAACAAATAGCTGACCTTTTGAAATTGCCTAAAGGTTGAAAGAATATGGGAACCATCTTCAGCATTCTCTGATCATTTCTACTACTTCAAGGCAGGAACTTTTGGATCATCCCTCTTACTTGGGAGGATGTTACGTAGAGGCAGTACTCGCTCATCGCATAAGCCTTCCACTATCTATTTTGTTTTGGGAGAAAACAAGAAAGTAATTCAATCACATTGGTTTGATTTTTTTCTACAAGGCTGCAAATTCATATTTTATATACTGTAATACCTTCCAAATAGTTAAGAACAAGTAAAACTGACTAACATCATTGAAGAAGAAGGAACTTGGTTTATTGATATGGCATATGATTCCTTCACATTTCACTATTTTTGCAGGTTGATTTTGTATTCCAAGAGTTTGACAAGGAAATAGCAGAAAAGATGCTGCTGCTTGCAGTAGCAGGTTTTTGACTAACTTTAACTGAGGCAACTTGGCAGATGGCACACACTTTTTGTTGGTTGTGGTTTAAGAATCTTTTTCACCATGGAACTGTGTGAGACTCAAGCAAAGCATCCAGCAAGAGATGTGCACCATCATAATTATTGTCGTAAATCATTGGCAAATCTTTGTCAGCCTCTGGATCTGAACAGAAGCCACATGAGATGTATTCCACTCTGATTCTGAAGGGGAGTCTCAAGAAATGGAATAATGCATCATTTTTATGTATTATTTTTCAACTATATTTTGTTTCATATGTTCATGTCTGTTGAAATTCCACTGCATTTAGTTACATTGTGTTGGATGTGGGGCTTGCATGACAGCCAGGGGCAGAGAGTAAAAAATACCAGGCTTGTGGGATATGGATGTTTTGAATTGTTCATGGCTTTGTGATGCAATTATATTTGCATAGAATCTTATTCTAATCACTTCCACATCTGATGGAAGATTTAGACTGTACTTTGATTCTGACTCCAAATGTTCGGCACCATTACTAAATCTCGCTGTTTTTCCTTGTGGCTGCAGCAACAGAATTGGCTGACTAATTGCCTCAGGGAATAGATGGTAAAGCCATCCTCCCCAAATTTGAACTTAATGGATCTCAAATATGAAATATTAGAATACCCTAGAAAGATGGTATTCCTAAAATCCAACTGAACCATGTGAATTGAACAGAGTATGAGCCTAAGAGATATATTTGTTCTGAGAGCTGATGGAGGCAGGAGTCTGGCCAGGGTATAGGCATTAATGCACCTATAAATTAATGCCCCAATTTGTAAGGCAACAAGGAAGGGTAGTGGCTGAAGTAATGTCATTGACATGACTTTCCCTTTTAAATACATTTTTTCTCAGAGTAGAACCCATGCAGTCTGGGAATATTGTCTTTGTCTTGTTGAGCCTTCCTGCCACCATTGGAACATTTTTGTGGGCTGTACCATTATTACTGTCCTACTTGGATGCACCTTTCCTAGATCTTGCAGAAGCATTTGTCATGATTCATTGATATAATGGTCATCCTACTTTGCTACTCTGACCTCCTTGGGCCCAACTTTCCTATTGCCATTCATTTTGTCTCATGCTTCTCAACCCTTTTGTGAAGCAAAAAGCAGGCTGTTTTGATGACATGTGAATACAAATTTGGATTTTTGGCTGCTAATTTTCTTTCTGTTCCATGTAGACTTGGCATTGCTTATACCTCTGCCAATTTTCCCCAAGAAAATTGAGGATTTTTCAACTTGTTATATAAACAAGAACATTCTGAGTATGCTGGAAATGAATTTCCATGACTGCTCAATTCATCTGATTCCATGATAGGTTTTTTAGGATGACAAAAAGCATGACAAGTCTAAAAATAGCATCTGTCTATGAATTGACACCTATACACTGGCTTTTGCAAGCCACTTGGAATGGATTCCAAAGTTTAAGCACTTCATCTATACCAAGTGGCAAGCAAAAATGAGCTTTTCCTGCTCAGTTTCCCTTAAATGTCTTATAGTGTTGAAAGTAACAGTGCATGAGGATGGCATAGTGAAGATACTAATATACAATATTGTCTGTTTTAGGGGAAACCCATCAAGGCTAGGATCAAAGCCAAGCCGATCTCAAGACCATCTTTGTTTCCTCTGGCTTCATCAGGAGGAAAGAACAATTCAAGAGGAACAAATGTGACTAGTAATGTGACTGTGATGCCAGGACAAACCATGACAGTGTTGCAAAGCGGAACAGTTCCAGTAACTGTCTCCCAACAGCCATCACCTGCTGTGAGTAGTGCAAGTGAACGAATGCATTCAATCTACACTCAGTCTGGCTCAGCTCCTCGCTTCCAGGCACCTATCTCAGTCACCAGTAGTGTTCATAATAGCATCAGCAGTTATGATGAGCATCAGTTCCTGGCATTTGTAAGTGCTTGTTTCTGCTTCCATATGCTGTCATCTTGAGAGTTGCAGTGATGTGGGGTTGAAAAATACTGTCACTTTGTCACTTGGAGTGTCTGAGACTTGTGGGAGGGAGTACTTCAAAAGCATTTTTAAAGTGAGGATTCTCAAGTGAAGAAATAAATAAATATATACAATTGGAACAGGAACAAGCAAAAACATGGCATCTTCCTGTCACAACTGTGTTAATATGGCTGCATCTATTGGATTGACCATTCACATGCTTGCTGTCACAGCTGTCTTAATGAACTTAGCTGCATAGGGAGACTTCCATTTATGGGGAGGGCATCAATATTATTTCCAATGACCTAGACAACCACCAACCCAGTGCTGTCTCACTCAGTGAGAAGTCAATTAACAATAACTCTTACCCATAAGAATCTCATAAGAATCCCACATAGCAATGGTCCCATTTTCTGCACTGCAAGCATCATTACTGGATCACTATACTAATTTTTAAAAGTTATTTGTATAATTTGTTCATTTTATGGCCTCACTTTACTGAAAACTTCCCATAAATGTTGTAGTAACAAAATCAAGGGAATTGTTTCAAATATGTCCAGGCTTTTTTCATTGCTGCAATCATGTTTTTTTAATGTGTAAGTAAAAAATTATTTGAATGTGTGGTCACAGTGGGTGAAAAGAGAAAAGAAATGGGTAACAACTCAAACTTCTTTTTAGCTCTTGGTCATTATAATGAGAGGTGCAATGGTGTTTGATCAGTTCTCAACTGATATTGGGATTACTGGCTTTGCCAGGAGTTTAAAAGTAGCTATCATTTTCAGCTTTTTTTTTATTTTCACAACATGAAATGCTGAATCCCTTTCTTTCATTCTTGTTCACCAAAAAATGCATTAAAAGTTGAGTATTCAGTGCAGATTGTTTTCTGTCATGTAATGGAAAGGAGGAAAGACTTCTCTAATCCAAATATGATGTGTTTCATGAAGTGTTATATAAACAGGTGACTTGAAGGTCGCCTGTATATATAAACTGGTGACTGTAATTCAAATACTAGAATGACAGATCATAGAGAAGAAAAAATTTGTTCTTTTTCATATCTAATAATATGGCATGAAATCTCAGGTACAAACTTTGCTTCAATTTCACTTATTGGCTGAACTATTTTCTTTCTAGGCAACATACCTTCCAGGGACATACAGAGTCCTTCAGCCATGGCCAGCTGAGACTGCTCCAGCTACCTTCTTGGATATTGGAAGTGTTTTTGCCATGAATGGCCTTACACCTCAGGCCACTTTCAAACATAGCTCATCAAGCAACCGTTACTCAAATCGGAGGTATGCTCCTCTCTTCAGTATCCTGCCCCACAACATTGAAAGCACACTTTTTTCTTTTGATTTTATAGACAGTAATTCAACATTAGAAAAACCATGCAATTTTCAAAAAGGAGCTGGAAAAAAGGTTTTACAGAAAGCTGAGTGGATCCTCAATGCATGTGTCTTTTCAATGAATCTTAGTGAAGTATTTGAAAGTTGGTTTGAAAACTGGATTCAGTGATAGGTCTCATTGGGAGCACTGGGAATAAAAGGGTTAAAATCACAATGAAGAGTCGGTTGAAAGGTAAGGTTCATGTGATGAATCTAATCCTGTAATGTCAATTTGTATGTAATTGCTGAGTAGTTAGATTATCACATCATTATGATTTGAATCATATTAGTTTTCAAAGTCAATTTTCAGCATACAATATTTTTCTGAGTTAGGCCTGGTTCTGGAAAAAAGGGTTAGTTGTAATCCTGGTTTAGCACAATGCAGTTTCCATGATGCTGACCTGGGCTTGAACTTCCTGCTTTTTAAGAAATGGTTCATGAAGCTTTTCATAGGAGAGAGCATTTTGTAAGACTTGAAGTGTCTCTTGCAGACCCTTGAGCTTTGGAAAAGGCTTCATAAAGGCCCTGATTCACGAGGCAAGGACTTGCATCCACTTGCCTGAAAGTTGTCAAGCATCTGTGAAACGAAGTCGAAAGAGTGAAAACTCACACCTACTAATAGATGTCAGGGAGATCTACAACTATGATGGTGGCATATTTTGGTGACACAGCACCACAACTTTCCATTGAAGCCACGAGGCTCTCATTACTGGCTTCTGTGAGTGACTTTGCCTGTGGAATGTCAGGATGAAGGAGCATCATGATTGCTCAATCAGGGATCTGATACAAGAGCAATATCTCTCCCTTGATTTAACTTCAGATGCACAGGGACCATTTCAGACAATTTTCATTAAGAAATGAAGACCAAAGGACCCATCAGCTCCTACAAAGTGCAGGGGGCGCCATGAACAGAGCTGGCCTTATACCAAATAGCGCCCCAGGTCTTTGGCGTGCCTCCCCCCCTCCCTCCAAGTCTGGCTCCCCAGGCAGTTACCTATGAGGGTCACTCAATAAGTTATCTACCTGAATAAGAAAGAAACATCCGAGGGGAAANACTCTGGTGCGACGATCCTCCAGTATCGCACTCTCCAATTTGTCACACATTTCCTGATCAGAAGCCTCCACAGGGCGCCCCGACCTTGGGTCATCTTCAATCGACTCTCTTCCCCACTTAAACTGCTTGCTCCAAAATTTAACTTGGTAATAAGAAGGCGAAGACACACCATAAACGTTAGACATACGTTCATGAATCTCCTTAGGTGCTTTCCCTTTGGTGAGGAATTTCATCACTGAACGATGTTCAACTTTCGTCAAATCCATGACACAGACTCGGGAAAAGAAATCTAATGCGCTACCACTTTGAACGGACTTGAGGCACTGAGCTGGTATAGTGGTGGGGCACTCACGAGACCTGTCGAGACATGTCACAGCAGGCACAGGCCTGTTGCTCATCCCTTTCATATTCAGGTAGATAACTTATTGAGTAGCCCTCGTACCAATAAATCTGGCCCTGACCATGAGCCTCACCCCAATAGGTCCCTACAGGGCCTTTCCAACCAATCAGAGAATGACTTGCTTACAAGCCTTCTAGGATATTAAACTGAGGGGAAAGTGGAAGCAAGCACTTGCTGGGAGTTTCTAGTAGGAAGCAAGTGGTGTATACACAAGGCAAAGCTCTTGACAAGTGTTTGCTAGCAACCTCTGGGTCATAGGCTAGACCAGGGGTTCTCTAACTGGGGGACTGGTTATGGGAGTTTTTTTTTTTATCTATTAGAATATGAAAGATCAAAAACTATGTCTCATGGAATAATTTTTTTATTTTATTTTTTTATTTACAGGAAAAAGGTCACATTCCTTCTGGTACTTGCTCTTCTCCAGGAGTGCAAGACTAAATTAAAGCTATTTCAGAGGGGTGACTTTCAAATTCAATTTTTTTTCTTTTCCCCAACGGGTGTTCATTTCCATTGGCGATTTCCAACTATTTGAATGAAGATGACAAATGGATCGTGCATCTCTTTGCGCTGTAACTTGAATACTTTATGAATGTAGTGTGTACTTGTTCTGTCTAAATAACTTAAATGTTTGAAGAAACTCAAAGACAGAAGAGCTGGGTTCCCCGGGCAGAGAAAAACTTACTAAAACCTCTGTCAGGTCCTTGAAAATTCTTCTCCCATATGCCTCACATAACAGTGTGAAAATTCAGTGTCGTTTCGATGTTGAAAAAGAGACTTGCGCCGTTATTGCTACCATCCAGTCTAGAATTGATCATTTGTGAGCCCAGAAGCATGTGAGTGTCATTAAATTAGGTGAATGATCATCGATTCTTAGCTGTGACCTTAACCGTTAAAATTTGTTTAATATTTTTCCAATCATCATATGAAAAAGTATCTTTGGGATTATCTCAATTTCTAGGTACTCCTCTCAGAGTAAAGGGGGCGAGACACCGAGCTAGGGTCACTAGGGGGGGTGCAGCATAAACAGTTTGAGAACCACTGTGCTAGGCTATAGAACCCTATGATTCCTGACATATGATACTCCCTGTTAAATGGCAGAGCCTTGTAGGCCTGGCCTATGGCCTAGAACATTGGTGTCCAATACGATTTTGATGCTTGCCAAACTTGTGGCGATCAGATCACCATATTCGCCACATGATACAAAATATCTGCAATATTAATAAAAGTGATACATAATCCTTTGATGGTAGGTTTGAAGTTGTAAATCAATTCACCACATTTCTGTGGCCAATTCGCCACATGTGGTGAGTGGCCAACGTATTGGACACCATGGGCCTAGAATGGCATAGCATTGTAGGCCTTGTGCATTTGGGGTGACAGCCACCACAACTTTTGGTTTCTTTCAAATAAAGTATTAGATTGAGTGACACTTTAAGCCCATCTGAAGTCTCCCTCAGCAGTAAATAAATAAAACAAAACCAAACCCTCCTTCCCCCCCCCCCACCTTTTTTTCCCTGCTTGTTGTAATAAAATTGGCTGACTGCTGACTGAAGCTACTAGGACTGCTGATATTGATCTGCACCAAGACTAGAAGCGAGGGTAAGGAATCAGAATGGGGGGGAAAAAACAGACTCTGCTATGGGCCATGTGTCTTTACTTTCTACTAAGCAATGTGATGAATCCCTGCACTTCAAATTGAATATGTATATTAACAGCACACAACCACAAAGAAAACACCTTTTCTTTCCTAGCTAGTTTTATTCTTCTCCCAGGTCTTCACCAGTATTGCTAAAAAGTGTTGTCAAGCCATAGTATATCATTACCAGGAATTTTTCTGCATACCTCAACATCCTAAAAAATCCACCATGAAAAAAATCTCTGTTTCTTTACAGGCCACAGAGGCATAACTCCCACACAAGTGGTAGTACAAGTCACAACACAGATCATCAGAGTGCTCATGCAACAAACTTGAGACGTGGAGAGTCTGGAACCAACAATACCAATTCCAGTCAAGTCCACAATTCCTCGGGGACCAATCCCGTGACTTCTACATCATCACCTACTTGGGGATCAAATGCATTGCATCCAGAGCCATTGATAACTAGCAATGCTGTGCCTCTTATTGCATCAACAACATCTGAGAAGTCCAGTGATATTCATGTGGACCTTACCTCTGTGACTAGTCAGAATTTCTGTGTTGCCAGTGGATCAGTAGTCTCTAGTACTGGTGAGAAGTCTGATTTGGCCTGCAAGCGGTTGCCTTCAGCAGATCCATCCCATACAGAAGCCCTTCCCCAAAGGTAAAAATTGCTGCTAATAGTTGAATTATGATTTCCTGAATCCCAATGTAATGGCTTCCAGATCGTTGCATGATTGTAACTGCAGTAGATGATATAAGGGAGATTTGAAACATTCTCACATGGACCTGCATTGTTAGTTCCTGTGCAGGATCAAATCTGAAACTTTTTCCCTGTTCCTGTCCACTTCTTGCTTTTGACCTACTTTCCATCTTTCGGCACAAGATAATTTCATTTCGCTTGAGAGTTTCTGTTTCTCTATGGTTTTCCAGTTGCATGTGTTTCACCCTGCAACCTTCTGAATCCATTCTTACCCTTCATCTCTTAGGAGACTCATAGCATTCTCCATTTTGATATGTGAGACTTGGGAGTTTTAAATTGATGCTAGTGGCCCTAAGGATTTTTTTGATGGGAAGCATTCTTTGTACATTGTTGGAGGATTCTTTTTTAACACGTTGACGACCAGCCTATTTTTGCTTGTCCGCCGCGTGGGACCACGCGCATTTTTTTTGTAA